GGGGTTGAGCTCTGGCTCTTTGATCCCGCCTCTCAACTGTCAATCAACTAATGTACAGGTTCCTGAGCCTACTGGGCTCTATCATATCTACACTTGAAGCTGTGTATGGAGTCAGCCTCCACCACATCACTTCCTAATGCAATCCATTTGTCTACTACTCTGACACTGAAAAATTCTTTAACGTCTCTGTGGCTCATTTGGGCACTCACTTTCCACCTGTGTCCCCTAGTGAGTGTGCCCCTTGTGTTAATACTCTGTCTTTATCTACTCTATCAATTCCTCTGAGAATCTTTTATGTGGTGACCATGTCCCCTCTAACTCTTCTGTCTCCCAGTGACGTGAGGTTTAATTTCCGTAGTCTCTCCTCGTAGCTCATACCCCTCAATTCGGGTACTAGTCTGGTGGCAAACCTTTGAACCTTTTCCAGTTTAGTCTTATGCTTGACTAGATATGGACTCCATGCTGGAGCCGCATACTCCAGGATTGGCCTGACATATGTAGTATACAAAGTTCTGAAAGATTCCTTACACAAGTTTATAAAGGCCGTTCTTATGTTAGCCAACCTGGCATATGCAGCTGATGTTATCCTCTTGATATGGGCTTCAAGGGACAGGTCTGGCGTGATATCAACCCCCAGGTCTCTCTTTCTCTGACTTTTGAAGTATTTCATCTCCCAAATGATAACTTGTATCATTGCTGTTGCTCTGTGGCCAGTGCTGCTGCTGTGGCCAGTGCTGCTGCTGTGGCCAGTGCTGCTGCTGTGGCCAGTGCTGCTGCTGTGGCCAGTGCTGCTGCTGTGGCCAGTACTGCTCCTGTGGCCAGTGCTGCTCCTGTGGCCAGTGCTGCTCCTGTGGCCAGTGCTGCTCCTGTGGCCAGTGCTGCTCCTGTGGCCAGTGCTGCTCCTGTGCTGCTCCTGTGGCCAGTGCTGCTCCTGTGGCCAGTGCTGCTCCTGTGGCCAGTGCTGCTCCTGTGGCCAGTGCTGCTCCTGTGGCCAGTGCTGCTCCTGTGGCCAGTGCTGCTCCTGTGGCCAGTGCTGCTCCTGTGGCCAGTGCTGCTCCTGTGGCCAGTGCTGCTCCTGTGGCCAGTGCTGCTGCTGTGGCCAGTGCTGCTGCTGTGGCCAGTGCTGCTGCTGTGGCCAGTGCTGCTGCTGTGGCCAGTGCTGCTGCTGTGGCCAGTGCTGCTGCTGTGGCCAGTGCTGCTGCTGTGGCCAGTGCTGCTGCTGTGGCCAGTGCTGCTGCTGTGGCCAGTGCTGCTGCTGTGGCCAGTGCTGCTCCTGTGGCCAGTGCTGCTCCTGTGGCCAGTGCTGCTCCTGTGGCCAGTGCTGCTCCTGTGGCCAGTGCTGCTCCTGTGGCCAGTGCTGCTCCTGTGGCCAGTGCTGCTGCTGTGGCCAGTGCTGCTGCTGTGGCCAGTGCTGCTGCTGTGGCCAGTGCTGCTGCTGTGGCCAGTGCTGCTGCTGTGGCTCTGTTGTGTCCACGTTGGTAATAACCCTGATTGCACTCCGCACTACTTCCCTCTCCTGTTTTCTAGCTGATACGTGGCTCTATTTTTGGGGTTTTCAGGGGAGCTATTGTTTGAATTTCTATGGCCAGTGGTTTTTTTTTGGGGGGAAAGTGGGGGGAGGGGAAGGGTGGCGGTGGGGGAGGGGACTGTGTTTTCCATAGTATTTATATATAGTACTAAGTAGAGGGGGAGGGAGGGAGGGGGAGGGGAGGGAGGGAGGGGTTACCCGGAGGTGCTCGGGGTGATGTTCACAACACCTTATCTTCATCACTGTGGCATCTTCACTACTCACTATCTTTGTCACTATTTTCCTTATCACTTGCCTTCATCACTGTAACGATCTTGACTACAACCACCCCCCCCCCACTTTCCCTCTCCTTCACCACCTTACTACACCCCTTCCTTCTCCATCACCTTACTACACCCTCTGTTACGAACCCGGATCCAGCGTCCGAGCCCGGAGCAGTGACGACCGCGCCATCTGTGGGTCAGCTCCCGAAACCCCCTCCAAACGGACGACGACACCTGGCGAGGACGACGTGTACTGGCCTCGAGGGCCAGTTTCCAGTCTGGTTCAGCGCTCAACACAGCCGCTGCTAACCTCTGGTGAGGTGAAGCTCAGACAACTGCACCATCTATGGAGTGGATAGGTGGGCGTTTATGCCTGAGCCCGTAAGTGAGGTGTTTTAGTGTGTCCCGGTCATTGATGACGTGTCTGCTTACAGAGTCGACCTGGGACTGCTGTGATGGAAGTTGAGTCAGTCTACCCAAGGCAGCCGTCTCCATACCTTGTGCTTTGCTGCAGCAGCTGTGAAGTCGTCCCCCGGAAGAACACTGTGGTGTTACCCTGCCAGTGGAGTGGCAGTAGAAGGATTACCCGGGACCGACTGCTGGAGACGATTATCCACTGGGGTACTGAGGACAGGAGAGTGATTGGTGGTATCACACGAGGCTCCTGTCTAGGGCGTTACCCTAATATCGTTCGTGGAGTGGCCTGACCAGCGTTGCGGGTCCGGAACCTGCCAGCAGACCTGCTGGATTTGTGGTTGACGGCCTCCACGGCGGTGCCCCCAGTGGACCTGTGTTTTGGCTGACCTGTGGCCAGGGTAGGCTCAGCATTCTCAGAGGATTCGTTGTGAGGCCACGAAGAAGCACCGAGAGCCCGTGTCCAGAGTCTTCAGCAGAAGACTACAGTGTATTTTCCCCTGTAAATAAGTGTTAATACCCCTCCCCCTGTGTTACTTTTATATATTATTTATTGGTGTTAGAAATCATTATATTATATTAAGTTTTTGCCTTTATTTCCCTTCCCCTTTAAGTTACTTGCGTCACGGATCACATCCCTTGAAAGCCACTACTGGCTTGGGGTCGGATACAACTTCCTCTAACAACATCAGAGTAAGAACCACGTTGCGTCCCAAGAGGGCCGTAACACCCTCTCTCTCCTTCACAACCTTCCTTCTTTACAAAACCCTCAGTTATTAACGTCCTGGAGAAACACGAGATGTAACAGTCAACACTATCCAGACAAAATTATATTATATATATTATATATATATATATATATATATATATATATATATATATAATTGTTTTCCCTCCCAACATCAACAGTCATACAGATGACCTGCACTGATACCTGGTTGATGGGGTTCTAAGAGTTCTTCTACACCCCCACGCCCGGCCCGAGGCCAGGCTACATTGATGAACATCACATTATAATATTTTAACCCTGAATTTGATTCCGGGAGTCGAACAGGAGAATTTGGAAACGGGCATCATAGGTGTCTTATGCACACAGAAAGCAGCCAACACATGGGTGTATTTTTGCTATTAGTGAATATATTGCATTGAGCATATTTATATACGGCGAGAATTTTATTTTTAATTTCGTACCCGGATGATGGGGTACTGCGGTGCAATTTATTCAATATGCTGTAACGGCCGGTAATGCCACCAGGGATATGAACACCAGAATGATGAGCAGTTTATTCCTGAACACTCGAAAACGCTTATAATGCGATTATATATATATATATATATATATATATATATAATGTCGTACCTAGTAGCCAGAACGCACTTCTCAGCCTACTATGCAAGGCCCATTTTGCCTAATAAGCCAAGTTTGCCTGAATTAGTATATTTTTTCTAATTTTTTTTCTTATGAAATGATAAAGCTACCGATTTCATTACGTATGAGGTCAAATTTTTTTATTGGAGTTAAAATTAACGTAGATATATGATCGAACCTAACCAACCCTACCTAACCTATCTTTATAGGTTAGGTTAGGTAGCCGAAAAAGATAGGTTAGGTAGGTTAGGTAGTCGTAAAACAATTCATGAAAACTTGGCTTATTAGGCAAATCGGGCCTTGCATAGTAGGATGAAAAGTGCGTTCTGGCTACTTGGTACGACATTATATATATATATATATATATATATATATATATATATATATATATATATATATATATATATATATATATATATATATATATATATATACACATACATACATACAAGTTGGTGTTACCACTAACGAGTGCTTGCGAACAGACAGTATATGCAAGCACTATAACAGTTTAACATTAAATCCTTTAATTACAAAAACAGGAATTCACATCAGAAGGAAATATTGATAAAATACCAACTTTTTGTTTTATTTCGAATGTTTCACATTCTTTACGAATCATTGGCAAAATGTTCGATATTTGACAGTGATAAAAGCTGCGAGGCAAGCTTAGTACAGCTGCATTGACCAGGGAGGAATTGTTAAGCTTATTTCAGGCTCTAGTATGCCATTATGTTCTTGTAAAGCTTAATTTAGTGCCCCATCCATAGATAAGCCCATGTTCCACAGGGAAGCCTAAAATTCCTCACATGTGACCCAGAAATTTCTCACGGGTAAGCTTAAGAGATTCCTCCATAGGGAGAAACCTCAGCCCTCAGACCTAAACGACAAGGATTGAACCTCAGACCTAAACGACAAGTACTGAACTATGTACTCACCACAAGGGCGTATCTATCCACGGTCTCCCTGTCCAGCTGGGCAGCGGTGGTGACGTGCCCACTCAGCTGGTCGATGTTGAAGTGGTGGGCACCGTCGCCACTCAGGGTATAGCGGCTACGGGCAGCCGTGCCCTCGTCGGCGTCCCAGGCCACCACTGACGCTACATGCGTGCCCAGCGCCACGCCCTCAGACACCTCGCGTTTGTACAGGGGCTCCTTGCACACAGGTCCGTTGTCTGCCAGATATCAACACTTGTTGCAAAGGATCATGCAGATGTTAAGATGTAATTGCAAAAAAATATATATGTATGGAGAAAGAGAGAGAGAGTAGAAACAAATGAGCGTCGAAACGTACCATTGACATCAATGATGGTGACAGTGACGGAGGTGTTGGCAGTAAACTTGCCGTCGGTGGCAGTGATAGTGAGGGTGTATTCCGCCTGTGTCTCCCGGTCCAGGGCAGCTGCCACGTACACCTGCGTATATACACACACACACTACCTCTTATAACACCTGCTTACCCCACAACATGTTGCCCATACATCACCATATGTATACTGCTAACCATCAATATAAGAACATTAAAAAGACACTTTTAATTAGAAAATACACAGATGCACCGTATTCGACGTATAACAAGTATAACAGAGGGAGTGAATTGTCAGGGGAAAGCGCCAAGCCATTACGACCATATAGCTCTTAGAAGGGATCAGGATAAGGATTTGGGATGGGGAAAAAGAATGGTGGGCCAGCCACTTGTGGACGGCCGGGGATTGAACGCCGACCTGCACGAAGCAAGACCGTCGCTCTACCGCCCCGCCCCAAGTGGTTGGGTCGCCCCTGGGAGAGAGACTTGCCTGTCCGGAGGTGTGGACGAGGAAGTGGCCATTCGAGTCGCCGCCAGTCACGAAGTAGTCCAATTCGGCCGGGGTGTCGTCGGCGTCTACCGTGCTCAGCTCCACGACTGCCGTTCCCGTCGCAGTGTCCTCAGGTACTGTGGACACGCACACCCATACGTAATCAACACCACTTGAAGAGCTATGATCAACACCACGTGTACAGCAACACGTGATCAACACCACGTGTATAGCAACACGCGATCAACACCACGCGTATGGCCACACGCGATCAACACCACGCGTATGGCCACACGCGATCAACACCACGCGTATGGCCACACGCGATCAACACCACGCGTATGGCCACACGCGATCAACACCAAGCGTATGGCCACACGTGATCAACACCAAGCGTATAGCCACACGTGACAAATACGAGTTTTGACAGTTATTAATATTTTCCCCTCCCATGGTGTCTAACGTGTGGATTTGGTGTCTTAACTTATCGATGAACTCTTGTGAGCTTCAACATACCGGCGGTGACGTAGGTGTCCCTGGTGAACACGGGCGGGTTGTCATTGTAGTCCATCACCAGCACCGTCACCCTGGCCGAGGTGGAGAGCGGGTTTGGCCCTCCGTCAGCGGCCACCACGGTGAAGGAGTAGCTGGCCACCGACTCCCGGTCGAGCAAGGCCGCTAGAGTTAGCGCCCCCGTGTGGGGGTCAATCCGGAACGTTGATCTCACAACGAGTCCCTCATCCTGCCCAAGACTGTATTGGACCTGTTGAGAAAAAAAATGGTAAAACATTTCCATTGACTTTCCACTAATGTGCCTAAAAAAAAGTTGCAAGAAACTATTTAGTGGGCACACAATCCAAGAGTAACGTTAATTCAACGTCGCATCAACGTTACATTGACGTTACATTAACGTTTATTGAATGCTGCCTCAACGTCTATTGAACGTTGCATCAACGTTAATTCAATGTTGCAGAAATGTTGATTCGACGTTTAGTCTTTGCTATTATAGTGGGGTAGGTGGTGCTGACCTGGCCATTGGTGCCTTCGTCGTCGTCAGTGGCTGTGAGGACGGTAATTATGGCGCCCACCTCACTGTTCTCCGACACGACGGCTTCGTATGCCGCCTCGGAGAAGCGAGGCGCGCAGTCGTTCACATCCATCACCTGCAAAAAGTTGCAACAAGCATTTTAATCCCATGTTGCATGCATCTTGGCCAAATTTGTTATAACAAGCAAATGCCAAAGCAAAAAGCTTAAAAATAAAAATCACAGCGGAACGGAACTCTCACCAAGCCATTACGACTATATTGCACTGGGAAGGGGATAGGATAAGGATTTGGGATGGGACGGGGAGGGGGGAAAGGAATGGTGCCCAACCACTTGTGGACGGTCGGGGATTGAACGCCGACCTGCATGAAGCGAGACCGTCGCTCTACCGTCCAGTCCGAGTGGAAGAGTTGGAGGTGACGAGGCCGTGAGCTTACCACCACCGAGATGGTCATGTAGTCTAGGGCTGGGGGCGTGGCCAGCGTCTGGTTGGTGACCGTGATCCTGTGCGACCGACGCCGCTCGTGGTCCAAGGCTCGCCGGACGATCACCAGACCCGACGAAGTCACGGCGAAGGGTCCCGAGGTCTCGCGCGAGCTGCCAGCCTCCTCCAGCGGTCTGTCTGTGGCCTCGTCTGCCAGGATGGTGTAGTGCACCTTCTGTGGTCCGTCCAGCCACAGAGACGTTATCACAGTACCTGAGCCATAGAAAGGATTCTATTAGAAAAAAAAAAAAAAGCTATTTTGCATAGTTTGCACTTTTCTTGCTTGTACACTATAAAAAAGTATACTTTTATCTACATTAAATCACATACAGTATTCGACATATTTATAATTTGATGTAGATAATAGTGGTACACTAAGGCCTCCAGAGGTAACTGGCCAAGAACTGAATGCTAATCTCCAAACCACCCCATATCAGAACACCTCTTAAGAGAGTCTTATACAGTTTACGTGAATCCTTAAGTATTTATGGAAAGACGTTTTACGAAAAAATCATGAAACTTATTGCCTACGTGAAGTACTTCCAGTATCGGTAAGTTATGAAGTCAACACCACCAGGGAAATTTAGAAGCTGTCTATCAATCAGTTATGCGTCTTATCTCTTCCTCGGGGGAAATTTCTTGGATATTTTATGAATATAAGCTTTTATATAAGCTTTCCTGCGTAAATAATAGCTGGAGTGTTCACTAAAATCGAAAGCTCGAGGTTATATAGCTTACGCAAAAGGCAATAAGCTTACTGGCTTAAGCTGAAAGAAATATATAACCTATTTTTGATGACCAAAGCACACACACCAGAATATAAAGAGACGACAACGTTTCGGTCCGTCCTGGACCATTATAAAGTCGACACAATCGACTTTATAATGGTCCAGGACGGACCGAAACGTCGTCGTCGTCTCCTCATCTTCTGGTGTATGGATTGGTCATCATATCTTCAGCCACGTTATTGTGACGCATCGTCTGCTCAACCCATTTTGCTTTTTTGAGCAATCACAAACACGATTCTGGTAAGTAAACACCTTGATCCTGAGTGAGAGAGAGAGAGAGAGAGAGAGAGAGAGAGAGAGAGAGAGAGAGAGAGAGAGAGAGAGAGTGAGAGAGAGAGAGTGAGAGAGAGAGAGTGAGAGTGAGAGTGAGTGAGAGAAAGCCTTGGTACCAGCAGATATCTTACCGACAGGGGCGTCTTCCCTGAGGAAGAACTGGGAGTACTGCCTGCCACAGTGCGGGGGCCGGTCCTCTGACCCTAGAAGGAAGATGGTAACGGGAACGTCGCTGTGGTGGCGTGGCGACCCACCGTCCTCCCCTCGAATGAAGAACTGGTACACCTCGTTCTCTGGAACACCAAACCTCCCCCTTCAGCCAATACGCTGGCTGAAGCGCGAACTCACTTCGCAAATATAAAAAAACTTTCGCTGGAAATTGTTGCAATTACTTAATCAACTTCCTTTCAAAAGAAAGCTCCCACTTTAAAATAAAATTTTTTGGTTTAAATGTATCTTTACATTATAAAATGACAAGAGGCTTTTGGACGTACCTCGCCCCAGGGCACTGACGGCTAGGGTGACCTGACCAGAGGACGGGTCGACCCTGAACATCGTGAGCGCCTCCGAGCTGTTGGCCTCGTACATCTGGTACTGCACCTCGCTGTTCACGCCTTCGTCTGCGTCGGTAGCCTCCACCTGGGGATACGGTGATGAGTGTGGTGAGTGTGTGAGGGGGGGGTGAGAGGGGGGGTGAGAGGGGGGGTGAGAGGGGGGGTGAGAGGGGGGGGTGAGAGGGGGGGGTGAGAGGGGGGGGGTGAGAGGGGGGGGTGAGAGGGGGGGGTGAGAGGGGGGGGGGGGGGGGTGGGAGAGGGGGGGTGAGGTGGTGGGAGGGTGTGAGAGGTGGTGGGAGGGTGTGAGAGGTGGTGGGAGGGTGTGAGAGGTGGTGGGAGGGTGTGAGAGGTGGTGGGAGGGTGAGAGAGGTGGTGGGAGGGTGAGAGAGGTGGTGGGAGGGTGAGAGAGGTGGTGGGAGGGTGTGAGAGGTGGTGGGGAGGGTGTGAGAGGTGGGGAGGGTGTGAGAGGTGGGGAGGGTGTGAGAGGTGGTGGGAGGGTGTGAGAGGTGGTGGGAGGGTGTGAGAGGTGGTGGGAGGGTGTGAGAGGTGGTGGGAGGGTGTGAGAGGTGGTGGGAGGGTGTGAGAGGTGGTGGGAGGGTGTGAGAGGTGGTGGGAGGGTGTGAGAGGTGGTGGGAGGGTGTGAGAGGTGGTGGGAGGGTGTGAGAGGTGGTGGGAGGGTGTGAGAGGTGGTGGGAGGGTGTGAGAGGTGGTGGGAGGGTGTGAGAGGTGGTGGGAGGGTGTGAGAGGTGGTGGGAGGGTGTGAGAGGTGGTGGGAGGGTGTGAGAGGTGGTGGGAGGGTGTGAGAGGTGGTGGGAGGGTGTGAGAGGTGGTGGGAGGGGTGTGAGAGGTGGTGGGAGGGTGTGAGAGGTGGTGGGAGGTGTTTTTTATATACTAGAATATATAACAATCTGTCTGACTGACTGACTGTGTCTGCCCCAGATTGATGCCAGACCCAACATTGCAGGGGAGGAATGGTCTGAGGCACGGGACTGACATAGGCTGGTCGAGGACGGTCCTATTGGTTCTATTAAGAGGGATATGGCAAAATAGTGCCTACTCCCTCCTCCTCACTGATCTTGTGAGAGTGGGGGAGAGGTGACTGGCCGAGTCCCTAATTTTCTTAGCTAGAAAGTGGAGGTGAATTCAATATTAGGTGGAAATATCTGTCTGTTCAAAGTTGGAAGCCAGATGGGGAAGATGGTGGGGAGGAGGAAGAAGTTGTGGGGAGAGAATAGGGAAAGGGGTGTAAAATTAGACCCATGAAAAAAATGCCCACTTCAAGAGAGAATTCTCATACAGTGTTCTTCACCTAAGGAACCACCACCGCCCAAGCCCACCCACCACCTGAAGATGGGAAATTGAAATCACTGCACCAACGCTACCCGAGGGGCGATTGAGGCGAATCCCTCACCTTCAGTATGGTGGTGCCCGGGGCGACGTCCGTGTTGATGTTGGCCTGGTACTCCGGCAGCGTGAATTGAGGCGCGTTGTCGTTCTTGTCGCGGACAGACACGCGCACCACGGCGAAGTTGGCGCGTCCCCCCTCGTCAGTCACCGACACCCGCAAGGTATGCGCGCTGGCAACTTCGCGGTCCAGCGGGCTCTCAGAGTAAATGTTACCTACGAGAACGACAATGAAGATTACGCGAAGAACATAAAGAGGAATATGTTCCCACCCGATACGATTCTACACAAGAAATATTTGACCGCTGGAGACCACAGTAACATTCATAGGAGTCAAGAGGTCTTCTTAGATCCCTTTTTTTTTGGTTCAATATAACTTTTCATAGCTTTGCGATTTATTTTGTTCTTCTCGTGTAGACCTAAATGAACCGATAGCGGCTTCACACATTATTATGTTAAATTTACCTAAACTCCACAACAATTATCAAAGACTATACTTATCTAAAGAACTTTTAACTCCTCAAGACTTTCCTAATAACTCAGTCTTACTATTTCCAAACATTTCCAATTCAAATATCTTATTTGAAACCTAAATAAAAACATGTCTGATTTGTGTTTTTTTCTGATTTCATGTCGTACAATGTTACTTACGTCTATTCGTGCTTTCCAAGGAAATGAATGTTTTTATCATTTAATGAGCCGTGTGAAACTTGTCAAGACTTTGCTCCAGCTCTTGTTGGAGCTGGAATAAAGTCAGGTAGGTGTGTGTGTGTGTGTGTGTGTGTGTGTGTGTGTGTGTGTGTGTGTGTGTGTGTGTGTGTGTGTGTGTGTGTGTGTGTGTGTGTTACTCGCCTAGTTGTGTTTGCGGGGGTTGAGCTCTGGCTCTTTCACTCACACACACACACACACACACGCACTCACGCAGTATTACAACCAAATAACGACGTCCAAACTCCATGGAGAACAGAGTGACAAATTTTTACACAAGAGGTACACGAGGGGAAGGGTGAATCGAGGAGATCAACATAGAAGTTTGACAAATAAAAGACTAGTAGGGTGAGTATAAACAACAAAACTAGATGATCTAAACAAAAAATTCGAACAAATACCCCCCCACAAACAAAAAAAAAATAGGGGGACAGACCCAAACAAAATAATTCAAGAAGTGTCTACGTCGTCCCTGGAGCGTATCCTCACCTTCTTTATCAATCTTGAAGGCGGCCTCGGGTGTCTGGTCGAGAAGATGGTAGTGAAGGGCGCCGAAGGGGCCGGCGTCGGGGTCGTGGGCGTGGACAGTAAGGACCAGCTGGCCAGGGGCAGCGTTCTCGTCCACGCGGCCCTCGAACACCTCCTTCAGGAACCTGTGTACAACAACGCCATTGAGCAATGCAACAGCTGGGCAACATTGCAACATTATCCGATAATATTAACCATGATTGATTGATTGATAAAGATTAAGCCACCCAAGAGGTGGCACGGGCATGAATAGCCCGTAAAACCACGATTTTTATCCCCCCTTTTTTATATGGCGTTTAAAGGGGGTGGGGGGTTATTAACTGGAATTTAGCATCAAAATACCACTTGAAGTTATGAGTAAATTTTGCAATCCTTAATTTAAAAAAAATGATTGATTGATTGATTGATTGATGAAGATTAAGCCACCCAAAAGGTGGCACGGGCATGAATAGCTCGTAAGTGGTGGCCCTTTTGAGCCATCACCAGTATCAATAGATGATACTGTAGACCTGTGGAGGTGCGACTGCACCCTGCGTGACGGGAGATGTCTCCCGTGAAATGATTGAAAAGGTAGAAAATGATCACCTTGGGGCGTGGTGGTTGGAGGGAACGACAGCCACGTGGAGTGCGGTGAACACGACGTGAACACCGTCGCTCACCGACATGTTCAAGTTCAAAGAGGTCACATTCTCCAGTTTGTGGGGAGCCGTCACCGTCAACAGGCCTATGGAGAGATGGGGGAAGAGGAACAAATCAACACACACACACGAGACTCGTCTTAATCTTCCTCTGACACTACAACCCGTTCTCGCACTTTCGTATAGTCAATATTGACTTATTAAATACGTCCATATGTGACATGCTAAACATACTAGTTTACCTTGAAAAGCTTCATAGAAAACACCGACCTTACCTAACCTTCTTAGTATGTTAAGATAAGCATCTTATTGCTTCGTAATTACAATTATTACTTCACCAATATTATAGGTATAGGTTAAGTAATAATTGTAATTACGAAGCAATAAGATGCTTATCTTAACATACTAAGAAGGTTAGGTAAGGTTGGTGTTTTCTATGAAGCTTTTCAAGGTAAACTAGTATGTTTAGTATGTCACATATGCACGTATATAATAAGTCAATATTGACTAAGAAAGTGCGAGAACGGGTTGGACACTATTACCCCCGTCCTTAAAGTTGGCCAAACTCATTATATAATATATATGAACACACAACTATTGTATAAATATCTTGCTGAAGAACAGGCGAGAACACACAAAAAACATTTCAACCATTCCTTTCACCGGAGGTATGCAAAAAAAAAAAAAAAAAAGCGTCTTTGATACTGCATCCAAAGTTCGTGAAAATTACCATGTCAAAGTATCTGGTTAGGTCCGACTAATCTACTTAAAGTTTGCAGCCAAGTTCGAATGAATTCTGCCTCGTTAGGCCTTGTTGACTTATTCCAGAGTTTCCAGAGCTGAAGTTGTGCTTTCCAGGAGTATAGTGGACTTGGCATCCCATGAAAGAAAGGGAGTCTTTTCAATTAAAGAAAAGGGGGAGTATCTTACGATGAAATAAGGGCGAGTCTTTTTTTTCCGATGAAAGAAGGAATGAAGTCACCTCCGCCCTTAGGCACCACTTACATCACAAAGGTCATGCTCACCTGGACAATTTGCGACATACAAAAAAATTATACAAATTAATTTAGACGCGAACATACATATTTCGGCTTTACCCGTAACTGCGTCCATTTTGAAGATGGCGTCTCTGTCCCCAGAGTGTATGGCGTAGAGAAGAGGCGTCATCTGGCCGGCGTCCGGATCCTGGGCAGAGACGACCGTCACCACATGGCCAGGCTGGGCCTCCGCCGACACCCTGCAGGAGTAGCTGTCGTGGCGCCAAGCGGGCGGGTTGTCGTTGAAGTCCACCACTGTAGAAGAGGAGGGGAAGAGTTTACATTGAGGGATGTATGGCATTGTCAACACCACTGGCACCGGTAGACTGGTTCCAATTCAGTCTTGTGCTTGAAAACTGCGTTATCGATAGAGAAAAATAATAATATACACTCTAATGTATGAGTTTTATCTGGTTACACACACAGGGAGCCGGTGGCCGAGCGGACAGCACGCTGGACACGTGATCCTGTGGTCCCGGGTTCGATCCCGGGCGCCGGCGAGAAAGGATAAGCAGAGTTTCTTTCACCCTATGCCCCTGTTACCTAGTAGTAAATAGGTACCTGGGAGTTAGTCAGCCGTCACGGGCTGCTTCCTGGGGTGTGTGGTGTGGAAAACAATAGTAGTAGTAGTAGTAGTAGAAGCCGTTGATTGACAGTTGAGAGGCGGGCCGAAAAAGCAGAGCTCAACCCCCGCAAGCACAACTAGGTGAATACACTTGGGGCCTCGCGGCTGAGAGGACAGCGCTTGGGGCTCTTAGTCCTCAGGGCCCGGGTTCGATTCCCGACAGAGGCGGAAACAAATGGGCAGAGTTTTTTCACTCTGATGCCAGTGTTCACCTAGCAGTAAATAGGTGCTCTCTCTCTCTGCGCGCGCAGAGAGAGAGAGAGAGAGAGAGAGAGAGAGAGAGAGAGAGACAAGAGAGAGAGAGAGACAAGAGAGAGAGAGAGACAGAGAGAGAGAGAGAGACAGAGAGAGAGAGAGAGAGACAGAGAGAGAGAGAGAGAGAGAGAGAGAGAGAGGAGAAATACATGTATATAAAGTAGATATAATAGAGGAAAAAATAGATTAGTTAGAAAAGCGGGGTCCAAGAGCTAATAGCTCGATGCTGCAGACACAAATAGTAGGATTGATGGTGGAAGGGGATGGATTAACCGAGGTGTAGGATGATGGGATAGGAGTGAGGGAAAGGGAGCGAGGAGAGGGATTGGGGGGAGGGGGATTGGGGGAGAGATTGGGGGGAGAGAGATTGGGGGGAGAGGGATTGGGGGGAGAGGGATTGGAGCATGGTGAGTGGGTGAGAGGGCGGGAACTATCAGATGAAAGCGCCAAGCCATTACGACTATATAGCACTTGGAAAGGATTAGCATAAGTGATTTGGGATGGGACGGAGGGGGAAAAAAGGAATGGTGCCCAAATAGACAGACACATAAAACAATCATCCGTCCCCTCAAGTCGGAGACTCCTCACCGTCAATAAGGACGGTGGCGGTGGAGGAGAGGCGAGGCAGACCGCCGTCCGTCGCCACCACCGTCAGGGCGTGTTGCCGCTGCGTCTCTGCGTCCACCTGCGTCGCCAGCGTCACCACCCCGTCCTCGCCCCGCACGGCGAACTGGTCGCAGCCGGAGCCGCAGGAGTACTGCACCGACCCGCCTGCGGCCGTGTCCTCGTCACTCGCCGCCACCTGCGACAAGTTATATAACATTATCATCTCTCTCTTCGTTTGCCCAACCACTTTGACTGGACGGTAGAGCGACGGTCTTGCATCATGCAGGTCGGCGTTCAATCCCCGACCTAACAAGTTTGCCGCCATTCCTTCCCCCATCCCAAATCCTTATCCTGACCCGTTCCCTGTGCTATATAGTCGTAGTGGCTTAGCGTTCCCCTCCTCCCCCCCTGACAATTCCCTCCCCTACCTGATCTTACCTGATCAACCAGGCTGTGATTCATACGTCAGGCTGCGAGCAGCCGCGTCTAACAGCCTGGTTGATCAGTCCAGCAACCAGGAGGCCTGGTCGACGACCGGGCCGCGGGGACGCTAAGCCCCGGAAGCACCTCAAGGTAACCTCAAGGTAAGGTACCCCCTTCGTTCATTACCTTCTTGGTATGCACCCTCTACATGTGACTGCAGGACCAGCAAGCTTCAGCTCCTGGCCCCACCCCATCACCCTTCCCCGCCTGGTATTAATACACCTCACATGCTTCATACAGATTACGGGCTCACTATAGCCCGTGCTACATGGACACTTCGTTCTAAGTAGCTAAATCTGTAACAACAGCAAACTCCATACAGAACCTGCGATATGTTAATACAATATTTGCTCATTTATGTCTCAACTGTTAAGCTCAGACATCACTGATATTTGTAAACCATTTGTAAACATATTTACGTTATAAACAGTGATTTTCGTGATTGAATTATTTTTCTCGTGACGAAATGTATGCGATTATCACAAAAATATGCTGTCAATGTAAGTGATGAAAATTAAAGTTTTTTAACATATAAAGATAAATTCGATAATTATAGGTATATAGTTAGGAATATACGCATCATATAACTACAAAACCGGCCTTGAAACGTCGAAATATACAGCAAAATAAATCAATTTCTTTTTACACATCTTAAAATCTCAGTCTGTTAAGAGCAGTCTGTAGGTAATTTAGCTTCTTAGCTGTGACGAGTTACCTGAACGATGACGTGGCCGGGAGAGGCCGCCTCCGAGACGCTGCCTCTGAACACATTGCTGACGAACTGAGGCGGGTTGTCGTTGACGTCGGTGACGGAGACGGCGACGTGGGCGTCCGTGTGGCCCCCGGTGACTGGGTCGCGCGCCCGCACCGTCAGGTTGTAGTGGCGGGCGGTCTCGTGGTCCAGGGAGGCCGCGGTCTGGACCACACCTGAAAGACCGCAAGGGGGGGGGGGAGGAAGAATATATCTTTTTAGAATATATTTTAGAATACATCTTTTTAGAATATATTTTGCACATTTTCCAAAAGATAATCCAAGTCATGCATTAAAATTTGTATTTTTCTCTCAATTTTTACAGGAATAATTTCCAAGTTAAATTACTTATAACCAGCTAGTAAAAATATTGTTATTAGTCATTATCAAAAATATATATGAGAGAGATTGATGATAATATTCACTGGGACTAGTTTTTTTTTCCCAAGGCGCATCGCATTTCGCACAAACAAGACTTGATTTGCAACAGATCTGCAACATTAGATTCACGATGACAACCTCTGGTATTAAGTGGCATAGGTAGAGAAAACCTTGGTATTCAACCCAAGAGGCAGAACACGCCCTTATGACACCCTCGAGGGGATTGACTTATACCGAAAAACTTTTGTCTAGCTTAAGGAATAACATCTAGTTTAAGTTACAACAAACATTCTTTCATAGAGAACAATTTATGAGAACTTGCAAATAAGCTCATTAACAAATCCGGTTCTAGAACGTCAAAACTAGTTTCTTTTCAAAGCTCCAAAAAAATTACAATAAATTTTAAACGGGATCTTAAAAAAAATTACATTTTTTTTAGAAGTAAAAGTGAATTTTTAAGAGAAGAAAGGAGAAGGTTGTAGATATTCTTGGTTGTGCGTTGTGCCGAGGGGGGGGGGGGGGGGGGAAGGGGGAGGTGAGGGTTAACAACACAGCTAAAGTGACAGGGTTATTATCAACTGATCTATGTCAACAAGACATTTTTTCTTCTTTTGTTTGGAATTGTGTTGAGCTGGAAGACAAGGCTTAAACAAATATGAAGTAAGCAAGCTGTGGTGTCTGTTCAGTCATCTGTCGCTATCATACCACGTGCACACACACACACACACACACACACACACACACACACACACACACCTGTCCACAACCACACGCGCGCGTGCACACACGCACACGCACACACGCACACGCACGCGCACACGCACTCGCGCGCGCACACACACACACACCACACACACACACACACACACACACACACACACACACACACACACACACCCTTAACCACCCCTGTCATCCTCAACATCCACCAATACCAACACTCATCTCAATAAAAATAAATAATCCAACTGCCCAGATCGAGAGAAAGAGCATCAATAACTGTGACAGGTGAGGACAGTGATCTATTTACAAGTAATCAGAAGGACTATAAACTACATCAAAAATACTTACACTCAGACTCCACAGCATTGCCACCTGGGAAAGCAGACATAAGCAGTTGTAAAGCAGAGAGCTGGACACAATGACGAGAGAGCTTCAAAGAGGGCTATATTAACTCAAGCGCATCATTGAAGGCTTAGCCCGCCAAACACACACCGAAACTACGACGTTGGTACAACGTTCGAACAAGTTTTAACACCTAACCAGTTATAACAACCAATATAGCAAATTGTAACAACGTTCTAATACGTCATAAACACGTTAAGCCAAGATGTAACAACTTTATTACAAGTTGTAACAAGCGGAAAATAGAGACAGTTTCGGTTTGTGTTTCCAGGGAGAGCCTCTATTGCAAGGATTAGGAAGGAATCGTATAGGAACACAGTTAGTCGGGTGCATATAGGGTGGAGGAAGGTCCAGTTAGGGTGGTGAAAGGGGTCAAATAGGGTGGTGGAACTCCAAATAGGGTGGTGGAAGGTTCAAATAGGCTGGTGAAAGGGTCCATATAGGAAAAATATATACTGGAATATATTAAAACAGCTTAACACACTATAGGTACACCATAAATAAGGTGTCGTCCAACCGACCCATCAACAACATTCAAGACCTCACGAATATCGGGACACCAGCCCATCCTCTTAATGAGGAAAGCATTCGTAACAACTATTTAGTGGTAAGCACGAACATGCAGTGATGGACCGCCAGAAAGGTGACTTTTGTGTTACTGAAGTTGGACAAACCGCAAAACTTTTTTTTAGTTTAACCGTAACAAATTTACAAGACCTAACCTGACCTCTCTTAACAATCCTAGGCCTAATACACGTTATCTTAGGCCTAGTGCAGTGCATAAATACGTGCCATATTAGACTTAGGAATGATTAAGTTTTTTTTTTTTTTTTTTTTTTTTAGCTTCATTTATCATGGACTCTTATAATACAAATGTTTATAGTAATGTTTAAATGTAATAGTGTGTACAAAAAAGATAACTATTTGGGCGGACCATCACTACATGTTGATACTGTCGACCAAATTGGTACAATAAATATAGTCTCATTTCAGGAGGATGGGTTGTATACTATGCATGAATAGAAAGGGAATTTATTGTACATTTCTTAAATCTATAAACTAACAATTTATATATAATCAGAAAACTCAAAAAGGTTCGAACCTAAACAGTTATAGGCGCGCCATACACATATCAAGTACCTTACCCACTACACCACACTGAATGTTCAATGGGTAAGATATGCGAAGGTGTCTGGAGCGTCTATAGTTGTCTGGGTTCGAACCCTTCAAGAGGATGAATTTTCTGATATATATATAACTTGGGACCCATTCAAGTCTTGTTGCATATTATATATATTATATATAATATGCAACAAGACTGGAGAGGCCACTCCAGACCAGGCCGACACCAGAGCGCAACTCCATAGTCTCCTGAGACTGATGGATGCCCACTATATATGCTTGGTGACCTGTGCCATATACTGGTGAGGGGTGAGGTAAGACGCGACATGTGAGGGGGGGACACAGAGGAAACGTTAGAGAGGTGAGGGAACACCTATAAAGTGAGGGGAGAGAGAGAGAGCAGACTTCAAACGTAGAAAGGCCAGGGAGCCATAATGTGTGTATTATACATTGGGGAATTGGAGCTCTGTGATACAGAGCTCTACAGCCAAAGAGTGAACGTGGTGAACGTCTATACCTGGAATATTCAACAACACGAGGGGTGTCTACTAGTGCCATAGAATAGAAAAAGTGAGCACGTACTAGTTGTATACAGCAGATAGAGAGAGAGAGAGAGAGAGAGAGAGAGAGAGAGAGAGACAGAGACAGAGACAGAGACAGAGACAGAGACAGAGACAGAGACAGAGACAGAGACAGAGACAGAGAGAGAGAGAGAGAGAGAGAGAGAGCTCCTACTAGAGGTACACAGTAAGGAAACTGACCTCTCCCTTCCCCGCAGCGGCATACAGAGAGGGAGCAGCGAGGCTCCACCATGGCTATACAAGAAGGTCAAATACCAGTGTCAGGCGATGCTGAAGATCAAAAGCGGCTCACAAGAGCAAAACAAAACACAAAAAGAGCTCTGCAGATATGACCGTCAACACAATCATTCCATGAATTGATATTCCTTAACTATGATGCCTCGTGTCTCTTGAGAGTCAAACATCTGCTTTATTCAACTTTATTCAACTCAGGTTATGAACCATCGATTTACTTAATGAATTAATGTTGCGCTGAACACACTATTACATATCGTAATATGATATATATATATATATATATATATATATATATATATATATATATATATATATATATATATATATATATATATATATATATATATATATATATATATATATATATATATATATATATATATTTTTTTTTTTTTTTTTTTTTTTTAATAGGGAAGGGAGTACCACCTCTGGCTGGAAGAAGGGGACCCATAGCCTCGGAGGAAACCACACATAACGCATTGGAGGGAATGTGGGTCCCCTCCAATACAGTTTCTGTGTGCTTTTCTCCTACCACCCCCTTCCCTTTTTTATATATATATATATATATATATATATATATATATATATATATATATATATATATATATATATATATATATATATATTGCATAGTGATGATCTACGATTGTTGAGAAATTGGAAGATTGAAGGGCGATTGTTGTTGCCTCTGCTAGATGTTGAACAAAATGGCCACGATGCCTGTTACCTTATGATAAGATGTTTGCAAGATCTTGCAATGTGTGAGATCCTTAATTGACTCTGTGGGCAGAGGAAGACTGGGGAAGGACTTAACCTAGTTGTGTGTCCTGGGGGTAGGTGGTGTGTTCTGGGGGTAGGTGGTGTGTTCTGGGGGTAGGTGGTGTGGGGGTAGGTGGTGTGTCCTGGGGGTAGGTGGTGTGTCCTGGGGTAGGTGGTGTGTCCTGGGGGTAGGTGGTGTGTCCTGGGGGTAGGTGGTGTGTCCTGGGGGTAGGTGGTGTGTTCTGGGGGTAGGTGGTGTGTCCTGGGGGTAGGTGGTGTGTTCTGGGGGTAGGTGGTGTGTCCTGGGGGTAGGTGGTGTGTTCTGGGGGTAGGTGGTGTGTTCTGGGGGTAGGTGGTGTGTTCTGGGGAAAGTAGAGGCGAGTGGTCTGTCCTGATTTCCCCCAAAATAACGGCCGATAATCATACCAAACATCCGCTACACAAAAGCCAAGAAAACAAATGCTATACATAACAAAAAAAAAGTGGTTTCCATCCAAGATTAGCTATGAAAAGATTACCATAAAACACCATAAAGCAACACACACTTTTTATACACCGTATCTATCTGGCTATTACAAATAAAAAATCAAAATGATATAACTTTAAGTGTCAAAAGTTGTAAGAATGTTAGTAAACTGCTTTGCAACAGAGGCCAGCTGTGCAACCAGAGCCAGAGACCCGGCCGGATTGCTAACTTGACCTCTGACTAAGCCTCAACAGGAGCTTTTTGCAACACTCGTTATTATTTAGGCGTATGTGTATAGCGGAGTGCCACGCTCACTGTGTAGTACATATTAATATATGCATACATAAGCCTGGGGGACACGCATATATTAAATTAACATATGTGAGTGAGAGTGAGTGAGTGAGTGAGTGAGTGAGTGAGTGAGTGAGTGAGTGAGTGAGTGAGTGAGTGAGTGAGTGAGTGAGTGAGTGAGTGAGTGAGTGAGTGAGTGAGTGAGTGAGTGAGTGAGTGAGTGAGTGAGTGAGTGAGTGAGTGAGTGAGTGAGTGAGTGAGTGAGTGAGTGAGTGAGTGAGTGAGTGAGTGAGTGAGTGAGTGAGTGAGTGAGTGAGTGAGTGAGTGAGTGAGTGAGTGAGTGAGTGAGTGAGTGAGTGAGTGAGTGAGTGTATGCGCGCGCGTTTGACGTACACACACATGCCGATCAAGTTCACTACAGGCGAACATAGTCAGCAAAGAGTCTGCAATGCCTGAAGCCGCAGTCAGCGCTCACCAGCTGGCGCCAGGAAACAAGTCAGACTCACCTGTGGAATAGTCGAGCGCAAACTCCTCATTAGTGTTGCCGGCGACGATGGTGTACATAATGGGCTCCCCGGAGGGACTGGCAGCCTCCACCCTGGCTACCGGAGTGCCCTCCGGGGCGTCTTCCGGTACCACCCCCACATACCGGGCCATGGTAAACATTGGTCCCTCAGCCGCCACCACTCTGCAAGTCATTAACCATCTCATTACTCTTGCATTATCTAAATCGCATTTATTCTTCTTCAAGGTCAAAAAATCGCGCCCAGATTCAGCCAGAGTCACTCACCGTATCAAGACGTGAGCCTGGGAACTCAGGGGCTGCTTCCCGCCATCGTAGGCGGCGACGGTGAGGCTGTAGGTCTTGTCCGGGGCCATGAGGGACTGCTTCAACGAGATCTCTCCCGTCTTCTTGTTGACGGAGAAGAGCTCCCCGCTGCCCCGCACCAATTCGTACCGGACGCTGCCGAACTCGCCTGCGTCGGCGTCTATTGCTCGTACCTTCAGCGGGAGGGGAAAAAATGCTTAAAAAACAAATTTGCAGCCTAGTCTCTAAACGACTGTATCGCTAAATCAATTAAATAAGTATCTGCTCAATACTTTCATTACCGCTATCTGTCTAGCTTTTCCCTTCTCCAATCTTCCTAACCTTTTCCTCTCTCAAACAATGCAACGCATTGTGTACGCTATGACCCCCAACGGATAAAACACGGGGGAATACTATGAAAAATCAATCGTCCCCCATTTTCTATACGTACGATGGATAGATTAGACGCGGGGACTTGAATTGGCGCGTTTAAGCACCCTCCTCCCCTTCCCAATCACCATCCTCCCCGTACCCCGTGCTGCTCTCTCACCCCTGGGTCACTATCCCCCCCTCTCTCTCTTCCACCTGTGGAAGACTGACCTTGGTGACCACGTGGCCCCGGGGGGCGCTGGTGGAGACTAGGGCGTAGTAAGGCTGGTTCAGGAACACCGGTTCGTTGTCGTTCACATCCATCACCGCTACGTGCACGAGGACCAGAGACAGCTTCCCGGGCGCCTCCTCGTCCCGGGCCTGTCGCTCACCCCGCGCGGGGGAAAAAAAAGACATTTAGCATCGCCAGGTTATCCAGAGCTAAGTCAATGCTGCCCAAGGGGATATTGTCCGAGGGTAACGTTGGCTGAAAGCTGAATTAACGTAATATACGTTGAAATAACGTTAATCAGCGTTGAAATAACGTTAATCAGCGTTGAAATAACGTTAATCAGCGTTGAATTAACGTTATCAAAGTTGACTTAACGTAATCGACATTGATTTAACCTTATCAACGTGGAAGTAATGACGTTGCTTCGACGTTGATGACATCAACGTCGAGGTAACGTCACACTTAGACATTGTACCAGTTGGTGAAGCATATTTCAAAAAGGTAAAATAATAAACAATAAAACTATTGTACTTTTCCTGTAGTCACACACTAAAAACCTTCTTAATGTTGTTTTTGCATTAAGGAGTCAGTTGTGAGAAGCTTAACTTCTGAGCTCAAGCTGATTATTGTTTCTGAGTGCAGCGCTCTCTAAAGCTCCAATCAAAAGCTGATTAGAATTTGAATAATTCAGAAGCATGTTGGGAAAGTCTAAATAGTATTATGCAGTTGATTCTCCTGAAGAGCAAACGAAGGTTAAAAATGTGTATTTAGTAAGCAATATGTAAAAATACATTTTGTTGTTATAGATTTAGCTACCCGGAACAAGTTCCAAGTAGCACGGGCTACTTGGAACTCACTGTAGGTGAGTTCCGTAACTTATCTGGCACAGGAACGGGGCAAGTAGCACGGGCTATGGTGAGCCGGTAGTGGACTTACCTGGCACAGGAGCGGTGCTGTTGTAATGTAAAAAAACAGGAAATACAGCTGATGTATATTGTAATGCATTCAACTCACCTGTACAACCAAGGTGTAGTGGTCTACCAGTTCGCGATCAAAAGGCTTTCCCGTGGTCTTTATGACTCCGGCGGTCGGTCGGATCTGGAAGCCGTCGGTGGGGTTGAGGATAGAATAGAGGACATGGTGATTGAGCGGAAGGCCCTTCACTCCTAGAGACACCACGTTGATCTCCTTCGTCGAGTTTTCGAACACGTTGGCCCAGTATTTGTCTTCGGAGAACACCAGCGTTGAGAGCGGGGCGTCTTGGACCACGACTTCAGCGGTGGCCGTCGAGGTGGTGGTTCCGTCCGTGGCCTTGAGCGTCAGGTTGTAGTGAGGCTTCAAGTTGAGCTGGTCACGGACGAACAGACATCTACTCTTGCTGTCGAACTCGAATCTTCTAGTCTCGTCGCCGTCAACCACCGAATACTTAACTCTGGACCAATCAGTTTCTTCATTTGGTTTTTCCGCGTTCTCGTCCTCCAGACAGAAGACTCTGACGCCGGGGAAGGTGGGCAGGTAGAGACCGGCGTTGTAGTAAGGCTGCGGGAACGCCAAAGGCGGGCTCTTGACGCTCCTGATGGTGATGATCACAGGGGCAGGAGCGATGCACTCCCGCCGGGGGTCACCACCGTCGGTAGCCCACACACTGAACTCCACGGTGGTGCCAGCCACTTCCTCCAGACGTCCCGACACCCAAACGGCTCCTGAAGGAGGACACCAAATGTGGAGGAGACGTGTTAGAGTCAGCATTTTGTCTTTTTTTCGTGAAAAGTCCTAGTTCTTACATATTCCTTACAACTTCATATCAAAAGCACAAGAAAAAAGCTTCTATTCATCCTCCTCTCATCGTCCTCACCCCACACAAACTGGTATAAACACTAGACTTTATATAATGTTTATGTTCTCTATGTAAACATTAAGGAATTATCATCAGACGGCGCCAAGACGGAAAGATTACGCAACACGGTGAGGACTGTGAAGGCACGGCCAGACTGTGAAGGCACGGCCAGACTGTGAAGGCACGGCCAGGCTGTGAAAGTAATGTGTAATTTCCTATTTCTCTTCCTTCCTTTCCACCCGCCTCTCTGTCTCTCTCTCTCTTATTCCTGGAGGTAAATAGGCTGGTGATAACCTCATTACTGTATATATTATTTTTTTACAATCCAAAAGCTATCACTTTATTAACCGATTGTGGAGAGAAAAAACAATCCAGCAGCCGTAACCAATGTGCTAGTCTTAAAGGATTCTTTGACGACTTCGTGCACAACAGAAAAAGACCTTCCCTTACCTGTAAATTGGTCGACAGAGAAGAACTTGAGGACATTCCTCTCGACGATACTGTAGGTGACGCGGCCGTTGAAGCCCTGGTCGCGATCGCGGGCGGTGACGGTGAGGGGGAGGAGGTCGTGGGCGTGGGCGGCCAGGACAGGCGTGTGCTTGGCGGCCGTCTGGAGAACTGTGCCCTGGAACACCAGGCGATCCCATTCCGGCCACCAGTCGTTCTCATCCAGCACCGTCACCCCGAGCCAGGTGCTGCGGGCCACCCCTGCCTGTCGTGATGAGGTCAGAAGGTCAGGAGAGGTCAGGAGGTCAGAAGGAACAAATCTAGAATGTATTAGCTGTCAAAATGTTTTTTAAGTGTTGCAAAACTGGCTATCAAACAACTAGATCATTTCAGCTCCTCTAGGATTTTATGCTCGACTGTCTATGGATACTAAATGTGTTTAATCTCTCTTAAACCCATAACAAAACCATGAGACCACAACCCATATTAGTGATCACAAGCGACATTAACCAATAAAATATTGACCAGAACCTCAATTCTCCATTAATATTTTGATCAGTACACTTATTTCTGTTCCTGACTCTTTGACATTTTTGCCATTGCGGATTAATTAAAATGTTGAGAATTCTCGCTAGACTCACAAGAATATCTACAGCGCTTCTCCCAGTCTAAACAACAATCTCGAGGCGGTTTTAGACCATAGCTATTGGTAGTAGCTATTATTTTAAGCCTCAATTTGAATATCACGAGTCTTTTGCTGCAAGATTGCGACTGACGGGTTAAAATATAAGATGGAAAGATTAATATAATTCCCCCCCCAAAAAAGATTTTTATTTTAATTCAATTCGGATATTGATATCAATTTGATAACAGGTATTACAAATCTGGTATTCTAATAATGGCTAATTCCCTATATAAAGCCTCTACTTAAAGCTTTAACCTCAAGTATGAAGAAGAAATTATGCCACGGAGCAAAATGTTACCTATTAATGATATATACCTCAGTGTTTCGTACAGCATCGATATCGTTGATATGATGATATCAGCGATACAAGACATACACACACAAGATATCAACCTTAAATAATATACATTACATGCATTCAAGCACTACACAGTACCTATTCTGTACAGCACAGCCGCCAAATACAAAATTTATCATATCAAGTTTTAATTCAATTGTGTGTACGTTTTGTCCCGGGTTAAAAAAATATCAACCATTTCAATGAGTGACATTCGAGGGAGGAATGAAATTCCTCCCTCGATGATGAATTCAATCGAATGATGAATTCAACAACATACCAAGTTGGTGGCGGTGATAGTGAGGTTGTACCAAGCCGTCGCCTCGTAGTCCAACGGAGAGGCCAGGCTGACCACTCCTGACGCGGGGCTGACCATGAACACGGCCTCGTCGTTGCCGCCCGTCAGCGTGTAGTGGAGCGAGGAGGGCGAGGAAGCCGTCAGCCTCGCCACGGCCGAGCCGACCGTCAACCACTCGCTAACCTCCACTACCTTGGCCGTGGCCTCGCTCGGCCAAGAGGGCGGGGCGTCCGGGGAGGAGGTGATCACTATCCTCACCGGCACGGAGGCGGCACGGGCCTGGCTAGCATGGTCCATGGCACGTATTAACAGCAGGTACTCCGAGGGTTCGGTGTCGAGGAGCGGACGTGCTAAGCTGATCACTCCGAGGGAGGGCTCTATGCTGAATGTTCCACCAGCGTTTCCTGCAACAGGAGAGAGGTGATTAAGGGTACCCCTTGTGCGGTAGACATACCCCCCCCCCCTTGTGCGGTAGACATACCCCCTTGTGTGGTAAGTACGGCGCTGCTGTGGCTGCGTGTGGTGGTTAAACCCCCTAATGTGTACCCAGACACACTATTTAGACAACACACACACTAGAAACACAAATTAATACCCTATCGACAGCTAGTATTAGACAAGACGTCGCTCGAGACGCCATCTAAAATAACGGCTTCTTATGAGTCGTTTCGGTCCGTCCTGAACCATCAGGCGTATCCCCAAACAATTCCCCCCCCACCCCCCGAAGTCAAACGTATCCCCAAATACCCCCCCAAGTCAAACGTATCCCCAAATACCCCCCAAGTCAAACGTATCCCCAAATACCCCCCCAAGTCAAACGTATCCCCAAATACCCCCAAGACAAACGTATCCCCAAATACCCCCCCCCCAAAGTCAAACGTATCCCCAAATACCCCCCCCCCCAAGTCAAACGTATCCCCAAATACCCCCCCCCCAAGTCAAACGTATCCCCAAATACCCCCCCCCCCAAGTCAACGTATCGCCAAATACCCCCCCCAAGTCAAACGTATCCCCAAATACCCCCCCCCCCCCCCAAGTCAAACGTATCCCCAAATACCCCCCCAAGACAAACATATCTCCAAAACACCCATCCAAGGCAATACATATCCCTCTAACACCCGTGCAAGGAACGCTTTCAGTCTATTGTCTCCCCAAACACGCACGCCACCCACGCTCTGTGAAAATAATAACTCTTGCCAATACGTTACAATGACCCGAATGTCAACACAGAAGACGTCGCCAGAAACCTGACACAAGTTGTATTTTATGTAAACGGGGACACTATACATTATAACAGGCAGGGGGGAAAACTATCTTGCTGCGATATACAACAACCTTAGTTTTACTGTTATCCCCTGTTGACCAGACCACACACTAGAAGTTGAAGGGACGACGACGTTTCGGTCAACATACTTCAGCCACGTTATTGTGACATCGCCTGCACTGTTATCCCCTCTTCCCCTACTGTTATCTTTCTATAACTTCTGTGGGCCTTACCCACTACTTCAGATTATTTTTTATCGTAACCTAACACACTATGCATCTTATCTTGAGGTTATCTTGAGATGATTTCGGGGCTTAGCGTTCCCGTGGCCCGGTCGTCGACCAGGCCTCCTTTTTTATTACACACCCCCTCAGGAAGCAGCCCGTAGCAGCTGTCTAACTCCCAGGTACCTATTTACTGCTAGGTAACAGGGGCATCAGGGGGGGATAGAAACATTTTGTCCATTTGTCTCCGCCTCCACCGGGGCTCGAACCCGGAACCTCGGGACTACGAATCCGAAGCGCTGTCCACCCAGCTGTCAGGCGCCCTCGATCGCCTATACAGAGGCGATTAAGGCCTCTGTGCTTGCATACCCAAGTCATTCGTTTCTCTATTCTTAACTTTGTTTTACGTTACTCAAACTCTGTTCTTAACTTGCTGTACCATAATGTGGTACAGCAAGTTCTATCACACTTACCCTTTCTCCTCTCATTTCTTATTCTCTCTCTCTCTTCCCATTATCCCTGATTTCTCTTCTCGCGATCTTCTCACGAAACTCCTTTGTATTTTCAGAAGCGTCTGTTGGTGGGCAGAGACCGCTGAGCGGACCACCTCTAAGCCCCAAGTCACACACACAAAACACCACCAACACACACACACACACACAAATAAACCCATCTGCTGCCGGAAAAACACACACACCCAGTGAAAGACACAACGCAATTTCCTGCTTTAACACATCACAAACAAATCCAATAAAAACCAGTGAAATAAACCCCAACACTCATATCGCAATCCATCGCGATCTCTGTACCGTAACCCCCCCCCCCAACCCCAATCCCAATCCCTTTCCTCGCCACCCTTGTGTTTGAAAGAGAAAAATCATTATATATATATATATATATATATATATATATATATATATATATATATATATATATATATATATATATATATATATATATATATATATATATATATATATATATATATATATTATAAAAAATGAAATCAAATAAATCGTGTTTTCTTAAAACTTGATCAACTGGGTTATGTAAAAGTCATTTGTTTTAGGAATTTCCAATCGCGTCAAGCCTTTATAGGGAGATCGATTGAGACAGATTTTTTTTTATCTAAAAAAAGGGTTTAGAAATGTTTCGTGTAGCTTCAACAAAAGAATACGCTCAACTGCGATTATAAGAGAAACTATATAGAACCTGTCAAATACGCGAATGTCTTCAAAAATTAATTATTCGTGTATATAGGCCTCAAACGAGTAATTCTAGAATAAATATTACACTTCATTAATATCGGATTCCAGCCAGGGAAGTGGATACCTGGAGGCAGGAAGCCTGGAAGGTGGGGAAAGCCTGGGTGGTGGAGATAGACTGGAAGGTGGGGATAGACTGGAAGGTGGAGGAGGCCTGAAAAAGAGAGGAATCCTGGACGTGAAGGACGCCTGGAGGAGGAGGAGGAAGAGGGAGCCAGGCACCAGACAAGAGAAGAATGGTCAACAAGAAACTGGCGTAAAGGTTTTCCAGGAAGCTACAAGGAGCGGAGTACTAGACGTAACGGGATTAACAAGAACCACTCGACCGGAACACTAGGGCGGAATTGGTTTCCCAGGAAGTACTAGAGCGCTGTAATGACCGTAATGGGGTAGACATGAAGCACAAAACACAAGTGTTATGGCTGCAATTATATACGGTATAGAATGTATACACATCTATCTCGGTATGAATACCAGGTGCTGATCACTACCATGTCTCTGTGTAGTAGTAGTAGTAGGCATCCATCAGTCTCAGGAGACTATGGAGTTGCGCTCTGGTTGTCGGTCTGGAGTGGCCCCACCAGGGCGCAAAGCCAGGGTAGGTTGATACGGGGGAGAAGCTGTTACCCAGGCAGCAGGTTCCCCCTCTCCACGGCGCTGAAAGTCTCCAATGGAAAGGAATACGCCAATACGATTGGTTTCAGCGCCGTCGCCGGAACTGTGAGTTCCGGGGTTGACCTCGAAGGTGGTGAAGAAGGGCACTCTGGGTAACAAGAGTTATTTACTGTGTAAATAACACCGTATTATGTAAATACTTGAGCATCTGCCTGTAGTAACGGTATTAATGTTAGTATTAACAGTAGGACACTGAAACCAATCTTATTGGCGTTTGCCTTTAAATTGGAGACTCTCGGCGCCATGGAGAGGGGGGGGGGGGAGAGAGAGAGAGACCTGCTGCATGGGTAACAGCTTCTCCCCCGTATCAACCTACCCTGGCTTTGCGCCCTGGTGAGGCCACTCCAGACCGACAACCAGAGCGCAACTCCATAGTCTCCCGAGACTGATGGATGCCTACTACTACTACTTGTGTCATTATCATGATAAAAGGGGCAGGAGGAAAGATAAGATAAGGAAGGAGGAAGAGGCTACGGCTACATGGGCAAGCAGTAAAAGAGACTTCGATTCTCAGCCGTAAATCCCGGGTTCGAATCCCGGCCCGATCAGAAAAAAATTAACAGTTTCCTTTCATCTCATGCTGCTCTTCACCTAACGGCAAATAAATACCAAGAAGTTAAACAGTTCCTGGGAGGTGCAACTTGAAAAATGGTCAGTAGTTAGACTCACACACACACTTGTCTCGTGACAAAACCCGAGGAGGAGGATTGACTGGGAACCAATCCATAAATGTTCGACCTTGTTCACCCAGTAGTAGTTGGTGATCTGGGAGTAAAACCGATTGGCGGGACGTGTTCCAGGGGGAAAACCAAGTAGCTTACCATAAACTGTGGGAAGAAAACTAACCTAACCTAACCTAACAAGAGTCAGATGTCGTCTGCTCCTGTACCCACCTGTGTAAATAAAATGAGACAGACAGGTGGGGGGAGAGGACAGGTGGGGGGAGAGGACAGGTGGGGGAGAGGACAGGTGGGGGAGAGGACAGGTGGGGGGAGAGGACAGGTGGGGGGAGAGGACAGGTGGGGGGAAGAGGACAGGTGGGGGGAAGAGGACAGGTGGGGGGAAGAGGACAGGTGGGGGGAAGAGGACAGGTGAGGGAGAGGAGATATTCCTCCTTGAACCTGAGTGTAGGGGCAGCTTAGGAGGAGGAGAGAGAGAGATAAATTAGAGGGTGAGAGAAGGTGGAGCAGAGGAGAAGAGAGAGCAGGAGGACTCACCCTCGACGATGGAGTAGGAGAGTCTGCCATTCTCGCCCTTATCGTGGTCGAGGGCTACCACCCTCGTCACAGGTGTCCCCGAAGTCGATCCAGCGCTCACCTGTGCACGCAAAATAAACAAGACAAAAATATTATTCACATGACAGGAGTAACTATCATCTATTTACACTCTGACACTAATACATTTTCCCAAGAGAAATGTTCCCGAAAGGATTAGATTATGATGTTAAAACACCCCTGAAAACAGCGCATAAAAGCCACATTTCACACCGCATTTGCAGCCACCTTCATCACTTGCACGGTCCATTTTCCAGCAATTGATGGCGACAATCTCCATCACGACAACCCAGATGACACGCATTTCAAGCCGGTTTACAATGGGGGGGAAGATTTCACCCTTCAGGACACGGCTTGGCTTCGCCCACTCGTCTTCAGTAATACCAGCGAGGTTTTGCACGACTCGCTAGGCGGCTGAGCTTGGCTGCCAGTCCTGGAATATATGTACTGGGGGGGGGGGGGAGGAGGGTAAGGGGAGGGGGGAAGGGTAAGGGGTGGGGACACGCATTTCATATTCATAACAGCGTCATGGACCGTCGCTCAGGGTCTGCAGGAGAGAGATCAGCGAGGACCTGGTCTGTTGGTTCAAGACCTTCCCGGGGTCTATATTATATATATATATTATATATATATATTGAAAGCGCCGTGAGCCATTATCACAGAATATTCGTATTGGAGAGTAGAGAGATGGTCCAGAGTTCACTTTGGCCAGACTTGGGGACCTCTTATTAAACACCTGTTGAATGCCGTTATACACGACTCGTGCCTCCTGTTTTTCCCCAGTTAAAATACTATATCTGTTACTGTACCGGGTCGTTAGATCTGCTGGATATATGTGTTATAATCACAGTAGACAAGTGATTATAACATAATATGCGCCCTGGAGAGGCCACTCCAGACCGACAACCAGAGCGCAACCCCATAGTCTCCTGAGACTGATGGATGCCTACTACTACTACTACTACTACTGTGATTATATGTTGTATGTTAATCTTTGTCATTACCAGCAGTTGTCACCATCCCGACAGGTGTCTTATCCCTGCTGGACTGCCCCCCTAACAGTAAAGAAGTAGCTCCTTTACTTCTCGATCTTGCCTCGTAACACTGCTTTCTAAAGTATGCATAATTGATCTTGTCTCCCATCTCTCTTAGGGGTGGTGTAAGGCATCCATCAGCTTCTATACAGTTTCTAGTTATAAAATACGTTCTGGTAAGCGCCCTTAGGCTTTTCTGCTAGGCTTTCGCTAGGCTTTCTGCTAGGCATTCACTAGGCTTCCGCTAGGCTTCCACTGTCCTTGTCAAAGCCTTCATAACAACTACATAATCAAAGACCAATACACAATAATCACTGACCCACAGGGCTGGCTTAAAAGCATTGTAGAAAAGGTATTGGAATCCCTCTCCAACATGCCCCGTGCATTTAGAGGCTGGTGCTGGTTACTGGCCAACATTGGGATTTTATGTTCGATGTTTTTGTTAATAGCCATCTTCTGTGTGAGGAGCAGGTCTGTCCTTGCTGGTTCGTCTATCTCTTCGCGTTGTCTGCCGTTCTGTGTGTGTGTGTCTCACCGACACAGTTTACACTCGTTCACACAGCTCTTCAGTACATCTAAAATGACAAATCGAGAGCAACAAAGTTTACATTTTACCCAAAACTTTACTAAACAGGAAAATATGACAATGTCTCCAGAAATACGGTTTCCACTCCTCTTCGGAGTTTGCAACACGCAAGCCGAGTCACTCTGAGCGGCCTTGTGGTCTGTGGCACTGTGGTCTGTGGCACTGTGGTCTGTGGCACTGTGGTCTGTGGCACTGTGGTCTGTAGCACTGTGGTCTGTAGCACTGTGGTCTGTGGCACTGTGGTCTGTGGCACTGTGGTACTCTGGTACTGTGGCACTGTGGCACTGTGGTCCAGGCACTGTGGTCCAGGCAGTCTCACTGGGAACTGGCTACAAGCTACTGGGTGGGAATGAAAACACAAAGCCTCGCGTCTAAGTTGGAGCCATTCCAGTAAAATGTATTTTGGACCTAGCTCGCGCACGCGCGTTGATCACGCGCAGTGTAAAAACGTAAACAAACATCTAACGATAAGATACTTTTTTCGTCGAGGTTGATTCTAAATGAACACGCGTGAAATATACGCAACATTGCATTGGTTTCTGGTCGAAAGTTAGATTCTTGAAGGTTTTGCAAACTTTCGTCCAGATCTGAGAGGTAAAAAGGAATTCAGTTGAGCATAACAGTGACGCGCCAAGAGGTAAATTTCGTCGACATGACAACAGATATATTCTCCCCAAATGTAGTGACGTTTCGTAATGCTCTCTCAACCAGGCACCGAGATCAGACAGTCAGCCACCGAGATCAGACAGTCAGCCACCGAGATCAGACAGTCAGCCACCGAGATCAGACAGTCAGCCACCGAGATCAGACAGTCAGGCAATGTCAAGCACAAAGATCATATACACACAGAAATCACAATAGCGTGATGTATTAAATGAAATGTCTTGGCTCAGTCTATTAAGGTAGCATCTGGGATGCTCCCGGACGCAGGTTCGAATCCTCGTCGCGGCCCTTGTGGATTTGTTCAGAGATCATATAATTAGGTACGGCACAATCAGACAAAATCATAGTCAGACACTGACATCATACATGAAACTATTTGTTTCAAGGTACTTTTCCCGATAAAATTTTATACAATTCCGATATTATTAAATACCAAATTTAAACCTATTGTCAAGGTTTCCACCGTCTCTAACGACATACATTATGGTTAATTCCCGTATCTAGGGACTTTGAAATATTCCTAGACAATTAGCCACAAATTAGTTTTCAGTTCGTGTTTACTAACTACTACAAAACTGGAAGCTATTTAAAACGTGTAGATCCTCTTCCCTATGAGCTCATATTCGGTGTTCTCTGTTTAAATGTTCAAATTGTAATGATCGCTACGTGAAAAATACCTCACGAAACTTCTACAAAACTGGAAGCTATTTAAAACGTGTAGATCCTCTTCCCTATGAGCTCATATTCGGTGTTCTCTGTTTAAATGTTCAAATTGTAATGATCGCTACGTGAAAAATACCTCACGAAACTTTAACCACCGTATTTGTGAGCATTTGGCTAGTTCTTACCGTGCTGGTCCGCCTCCTCGGCCAGGTGCATCGTATGCTATTAGAGATCCCAGCGAGGATAAAAAAAAAACTACCACTTTCACTTACAGCGATCTCGCTGTTCTGTTCTCTAGCTCGTCTCGTCTGGAACTAAACATCTTGGAAAACCGCCCGTCCTCCAAAGACCCAAAAGTGATTCCATGCACCCGTCAAACCCCCTGTCTATGAATGAAAAACGGTTTACACACGACTCACAACTGATTTCGTTCGAACACTTTCGGAACAAGTGCTTTACTGACGAATTTTGTTCGAATCACAACGCTGTAAATGCTTCACCCACGTACTACAAATACAAATAATCGCCAACAGAACCTAAACACCTAACCTAACCTATGTCTATATATATGCACAATATACTAATATATTATAATATTAATTTATATTTGAGAAAATTCCTGTTTTGAATGAACAGCATGTTAAAATTTATGAATGCGTCTGTGGGGTCGACCGCAACCCGTCCTCGACTCAAGTCTATTACATCCAGCGGTCGACCCCACAGACGCATTCATAAATTTTAAATATGCTGTTCATTCAAAACGGGAATTTTCTCAGGTATAAATTAATATTATAATATATTAGCATATTGTGCATATATAGGCATAGGTTAGGTTAGGTGTTTAGGTTCTGTTGGCGATTATTTGTATTTGTAGTACGTGGGTGAAGCATTTATAGCGTTGTAATTCGAACAAAATTCGTCAGTGAAGCACTTGTTCCGGATATGTTCGAACGTCAGCAGTTGTGAGTCGTGTGTAAACCGCTTTTCATTCATAAACAGGGGGTTTGGCGGGTGCATGGAATCACTTTTGGATCTTTGTTTGGAGGACGGGCTGTCGACCGCTGGATGTAATGGACTTGAGTCGAGGACGAGTTGATTGGAAAGTGTCTCAAGACTTGACCTAAACGGCTTGGAGTCGTCGACTTAGTTGTTTGCACGTTAATTGTCGTCTTCTTTGAATCAGAAGTTGTTGAGTTTTTCATTATTTTCTTCTTGTGTATATATCTCTGTCCTTTATTTTGTCAATTGAATTCACTTATTGAGTATATAATTCTGAACTATGTATTAAATTTTTGTTAGTTAATCTTGTGTTGTATTTGTTTCTTTTGTTTAGAACTGGTGAAGGAGTAATTACTCTGAGACGTTTGTTATTTTAAATAAACTGAAGATAAACAAATCCCCAAGGGCCGTGACGAGGATTCGAACCTGCGTCTGGGAGCATCCCAGACACTGCCTTAATCGACTGAGCTACGACAGGGCAAAAAGAGTTGAAACCGAGCGAGTCGAGCAAAAGTTCTACTGAACTTACTGGATCCCGCAGCCTCTCTGAGGCACAAACCAGGGTACATAGCTTGTGTGAAACTGAAGATGTATATATTTTCACTTATTATATTTTACATAATAATTATATAAACGTGTGTGTGCTCACCTAGTTGAACTCACCTAGTTGCGCTTGCGGGGTTAAGCTCTGGCTCTTTGGCCCCGCCTCTCCACTGTCAATCAACTGGTGTACAGATTCCTAAGCCTACTGGGCTTCATCATATCTACATATGAAACTGCGTATGGAGTCTGCATACACAGACTCACTGTATGGAATACCTTGGTCTCACGTATGTGAGACCAATGTCATTTATCTACCAGAAAGTAGATAAATTAAATCTAACTTTAAAGTAAAAAGTTATCTACTACTATTTATCTGCTAACTACGTCATTTATCTACTAGAAGCAACACATGGATGCAGATGATTTCGGGGCTTTTAATGTCCCCGCGGCCCGGTCCTCGACCAGGCCTCCACCCCCAGGAAGCAGCCCGTGACAGCTGACTAACACCCAGGTACCTATTAGCTGCTAGGTAACCGGGGCATAGAGTGAAAGAAACTCTGCCCATTGTTTCTCGACGGCGCCCGGGATCGAACCCGGGACCACAGGATCACAAGTCCAGCGTGCTGTCCGCTCGGCCGACTGGCTTCCCAAGGAGAGTGCAAGAATTTCAGATATATTATCCTTTGTAAATAAGATAGGGCCGCCATTTCATGCCGCGTGAGTTTAGATTTGTTTCTAAATGGCTCAAAATGTCCACAGTCTAAGATGTAATACTCTAGTGTGTGTGTGTGTGTGTGTGTGTGTGTGTGTGTGTGTGTGTGTGTGTGTGTGTGTGTGTGTGTGTTTACTAGTTGTGTTTGCGGGGGTTGAGCTTTGCTCTTTCGGCCCGCCTCTCAACTGTCAATCAATTGTTTACTAACTACTTTTTTTTTCCACACCACACACACACACCCCAGGAAGCAGCCCGTGACAGCTGACTAACTCCCAGGTACCTATTTACTGCTAGGTAACAGAGGCACTTAGGGTGAAAGAAACTTTGCCCATTTGTTTCTGCCTCGTGCGGGAATCGAACCCGCGCCACAGAATTACGAGTCCTGCGCGCTATCCACCAGGCTACGAGGCCCCTTTGTGTGTGTGTGTGTGTGTGTGTGTGTGTGTGTGTGTGTGTGTTCCTGTCTTTGTCCACACACTTTACATATTATTTCGTCTAGATCCCCATAAAAGCCCAACCCGTTCTCGCACTTTCGTATAGTCAAAATTGACTTATTAAATACGTGCATATGTGACATACTAATTTATTGTGAATATTTTAGTTTACCTTGAAAAGCTTCATAGAAAACACCGACCTTACCTAACCTTCTTAGTATGTTAAGATAACCATCTTATTGCTTCGTAATTAAAATTATTACTTAACCTATTATGGGTATAGGTTAAGTAATAATTGTAATTACGAAGCAATAAGATACTTATCTTAACATACTAAGAATGTTAGGTAAGGTCGGTGTTTTCTATGAAGCTTTTCAAGGTAAACTAAAATATTCACAATAAATTAGTACTTCGCATATGCACTTATTTAATAAGTCAATATTGACTATACGAAAGTGCGAGAACGGGTTGGTCTATTACGCTCTAGCTGATATAATTTTGTTCCGTAAATCAACAAACCCTTATTAACAAACCCGTATTTACCCAGGGCTTTCTGAATCTAAGCTTACTCAGTGTCTATGCATTGTTTCGTGTTCTATTCTGCGTAAATAGCTTTTCATACATTTGCGTATATCAAGAATGTCACCCCTAACTCGTCGCCTTTCTTAATCTCTTTTCCTAAGAGGGTGTTGCAAATCCCTGAGATTAACTGTTCGTTTCTTCTCTGTGGAAAGTTCAAGTGAATTTAAGTTCATTGTATAGTTCAATGCCACAAAAACTGAACAAAACACATAGAATAATTGAACAAAAACACAGAAAATAATAAACAAAACACCGAAAATGTTTAAGAAAACGAGAGAGAGAGAGAGAAGCAATATTTGAGACAGGAATCGAAGACTCAAAAGAAAATATGGATTCTGGTAAGACTCGTGAGGCGTCAGACCGAAGGGATTTACAACATGTGTGTAGTGTAGAAGACAAGTGCAAGAACCAAAGACAAAAGAGAGAGAGAGAGAGAGAGAGAGAGAGAGAGAGAGAGAGAGAGAGAGAGAGAGAGAGAGAGAGAGAGAGAGAGAGAGAGAGAGAGGAAAGCAGAGGTATTCTCCGCAAGAAGTGTAGAGGAGAGAAGTGAAGCAGAGAAGACACCGGCAGACGGACATCTCAAGTTACACGCTACAATAAAGCTGATCAACAACATCAAAATATTCTATTCATAAACAGTCGCACATTTATAAAAGGAGGAATTTTTCCGTACAAACGACACTCCATAAATTAATTAAAAGCGAGACACAATAAGAGCAGAGCGCGTATTGACATTGTCACTATCCAAATCAGAAATTTTATCCACAACAATTTACACACAGGTCAGGAGGGGCCTGACGGCTGAGTAGGTAGCGCTCGGGATTCGTAATCCTAAGGTTCCTCCTCCAGACCTCCCTCTTCCTATAGATACTAAGAAAGTCACTATTATATTTACCATTTTACCATAACATAACCCGGAGTGCCTTGAAGATGGTACTCTGGTTAAAGCTCAAGAACGCTTTCGTGTCTTCGCCCGGTAAAAAAAATCCCAGGAAGAGGCTTTGTGACGCCTCGTCAACCCTTTCAAGATTGAAAATATGTCATCCAATGCGATGAGAACCGCTCAATAGTGATGTGTTTATCCTGGTAATGTACATTCATATGGTCGGAAAACAAGAGATTTCACGAGAGAAAATCAAGTGTGAGTTTTTGTTTCAATCTCAATCAATCAAAAATTCAATCAATTAATTCAATTCAATCAATTAATTCAATTCAATCAATTAATTCAATTCAATCAATTAATTCAATTCAATCAAAAATTCAATCAATTAATTCAATTCAATCAAAAATTCAATAAATTAATTCAATTCAATCAAAAATTCAATAAATTAATTCAATTCAATCAAAAATTCAATCAATTAATTCAAATCAATCAAAAATTCAATCAATTAATTCAATTCAATCAAAAATTCAATCAATTAATTCAATCAATCAAAAATCAAGTTTCTGTGTGTGTGACTGAAGGATAAACCACCCAGGGCATATCTTTAGATCTTGAGATGATTTCGGTATAAACAAATATCTTCCCCCATACTTGAGAACGAGTTAGTACACTTCTTATTGATGTACAATATTAGATTTAAAGTTTACACATTAAGTAAAAAAATTATTATCATAAAAAGACACCTTAACGTTTACACAGTGTCTTCTTGAGGTTATCTTGAGATGATTTCGGGGCTTAGTGTCCTCGCGGCCCTGTCCTGGACCAGGCCTCCTTTTTGTTACACCCCCCCCCCCAGGAAGCAGCCAGTAGCAGCTGTCTACCTCCCAGGTACCTATTTACTGCTAGGTGAGCAGGCGCATCAGGGTGGAAGAAACTATGCCCATTTGTTTCCGCCACCACCGGGAATCGAACCCGGAACCTCATGATTTCTAATCCGAAACGCTGTCCACTCAGCTGTCAGGGGGCCCCCTTAGGTAAATATTATTACTAAAGAAAATAATATTAAATAATTCGAAAAAAACACCTTATTTATCCTGCATGTCCCCGCATCTCACGGAGAAACTATTAAGGAAATGTTATGTCACATTTAATCTCTGTAACTAAGACAATTTAGG